TGAAGAGTAAGACATGAAAGCAGTTAGTTGAAGAATGAAAGCAATTGAAGTGTGAGTTAAAAAGTAACAGTTGGAGGCAGATGAAAAGTCAATTGACATTTAATTGACATGTGAAAGCAGTGTCAGTTAAAGTGTAAGGGATAGAGGCACGTTATTTTTATTTCTTTAACTTTTTTGATTTCATACGAGCATTCTGCAAATCTCACCCCTCTTACAGGACGCCAACTCACACCTTTTTGCTGAAGGTATAGCCATTCAGGCTGCTCTGTTGGCCATCTCCTTCACTTTGGTCGCCTACTGCTACAAGGTGATCAACTGCTGCTCACCAGCTCCCAAAATGGTGAGTAAATGCTGACGATAGGTGTGGTAGTAGTAGCTGCAAAGATTTTCTTTTTGTGTCACAAATCTTGCAACCATGTTTGGTTCTATCATGGAGGTCCTCTGGATAACTAATGCCCACAAATATACTAACCACACAAGGAAAGGAAAGATGCAGGGCCAGCCCGGTGGTGCCTGGGACCCTAAGCAGAGTTTCAAAAGTGAAACACTTTACAAAGAAAAGCTTTAACAGCAATTTGAAATTGTTGCAGCGAACCATTCTGTATCTTAAATTTCTACTTTTCCTTGTTTTCTGTCCCTCTCAGCCGGTGATCACTGTACAAGCCCCCCCTGTCCAACAGTGAGGACACAAAAAGGACAAGGGCAGAAGACAGGTGGTCAGCCACATGTGAATGCTACACAAAGTTAAAGTTGCAATAATCAATATGTTTAAATTAACAATGGATCAAATGGCTATGTGTAATGTCAAGGGGGTCAGTTGTAGTGACAAACCCACAAAGAGTTATCATCAACTCTGCAGGTCCCCTCAGCTCAGGCTGTTCTCATGCACTGTTTGTATGTATACCTAATGCACCACGATTCATGTATAACCCCACGTAATCAAGAGGACTGCAACCATGTGACCAGTGCGCTGACGGGAGTAAAGACAGAAGTAGTCCACGTAAGGATGCAGGTTCAAGTGTGGATGGGTAACAAAACACAGGACCTTCCCCCAAGAGACCAATGTTCAGAATCGTGTAAAACCAAATGAACTCTGAGTTTTTTAAGGTACGTTGTCACCATGTTTGCACAAAATTTATGGGGATTGGAGGAATTTGTGATCGCAAAATCCCAACATCCTTAAGGGACTGACTAGCTAATCAACATAGTGGAGCATGTAGCAGCTAAAATGACAGGTAATTTTTTCAGGAGTTGGTGGAGACCAAACCAGAGCTAAAACAAGAGTGAATATTACACTTACATTCCATATTTTTATGAGATGTTTTTTATATGTGCTCCCTCTCTATGTAGTCCCTGTCTAATGTGTTTGTTAATTAAAATGCTGCAGTGTAGACACATTGGACAAATACTAAAATAAGTACAGGCACACGATGAAGCGTCTCTACAGTATGTAACAAGAAGCAATTACATGGTAATGGCAAATGCTAAAATGTAATATGACAGTAGTACAAGTAGAGAAAATTCATAAAATCTGTCGACAGGCCAGTTACACAGAAATTTCTATCTCAAGTTTACTAAGATTAGCCTCCATAAGCTATTGGTCATTACAGCTGAGTATCCATACTCAATACCTGTACGATATCAACCAAAATAACCCACTACCAAGTAGTATCGAAACGTCTCAAGTCAAATGATACCTGCATTTGATTATTTTTTTATGGGTATTGAATGAAGTACTTTAGAACTTTAAGGGTACTGGTAATGGTATTGTAATTCTTTAGATCAGGCGTGTCCAAAGTCTGGCCCGGCAGCCAATTGTGGCCACAGACCAATTACAATCGGCCATCGGCTTGACTTTCAAAATAAACCACATGTGGCCCTTTACACAATAATGGTTGATTGAGCAAGATCACTTTGCATTTTTACCCTTTACCTCACAATGATAGGACTATCATACACTTTGTAGACAGGCATCAAGTAATAGTTCATTAAAAGATAAAAATGGCTGCATTTGTCTCACTTTTTGTTTTTTTAAAACCAATTTGATGGGGGAATCTGTTGGCCCCCAGGTATTTTCACGTTGTTTTATCGGGCCCCCATTCAAAAAAGCTTGGACACCCCTGTTTTAGATGATACCCAGCTCTAATGGTCATACCAGACCAAGCAAGACAGTAGCAACCAAATCGCTGAGTGTATTGAACTGAACAATTGTGTGTTGTATTGCATATGAATTCAGCTTTTTCTTTTGTAAGAGGAAGATTGTGTTATTTCTTCACGGTCTTCCCTTAACATGTACATCACAGACGATAATTACTAAACCTCTATAGAGCTGTTATTTTGTTTCATGGCTTACAGCATAAATAAAATCCCAAATTATTGCAAATTAATGCTTTTCTAAAAATATTTGTATTCAGATTTTTGTTTACTTTATGATGATTACTACCTACATAATGCTTCACTGTTTCCTTTTGACTGCAACTAACAACTATGCATAATAAAAAGCTAACATGTGAGTAGGAGTTTGGTCATTGTTTTTCTTTTTCTTTGTGAAAAGTTGTTTTTCGAGGTAGTGGTGCCAACATGCTGGACTGTAAAGAAAGACTGTCACACTTAAACCTTACATGAAAACATATCCCTGCTATTATTCAACCCTCTTTCCATATACTTGTCCACTGGCACTATTTCTGTGTATTTACTAGTGTTAGGAAGTAATAAGTTACGTGTAATTTTTTTTTAAGTAATTGTAATAAGTTACAGTTACTGAACCTATTTGACATTTTTCTGCTTTATTGCCCAGTTTAAAACATCTGTTAGAAAAGTAATGAAAAGGTAATTAAGTAACATTACTTTGAGGAAGGAATTAAAATACTTTTATTACTTATTACATTTTGACAGAGTAACTAGTAACCTGTAAGCAATTACATGTCAAAAGTGACCCTCTCAACACTGGGAATGTGCACTGAAGAGGTACACAGCGCACTGATGAGACATAGGTCACATCATCTGTACTGTCCCTAGTCACACATTATGGGATTTTAAGGCTACAATGACATTTTTATACCTTCACGCCAGCAATAGCCATGGTCAGAGAGAAGAATGCCTTGAGGGTCTTCAAATTTACCACAAACGTCCACCAAGACAAGACCAAGACTTTGAGAGGTTGAGACTTAGTCTCCTTACTGTAGTCTATATATGTGTGTATTTAGAAGTGCACTATGAGAAAGAATAATCAGAAGAATAATCAAAAGGCATTGAAAAAAAACTATATGAGGGAATTTTTCTTTGTATTTTATAAGTAAACAAATACAGACACTACAGAGCTGAAATCAACTTCACTAACTTTATTCAACACTTCTTTTCTTGCACAAGCAGTTGTAGTCTTGATCCATCTTGATATAAGAGTCTTTTTTTGTCTGAAACTGACACAAGGTCAAGTAAAAATGTAGCTAAGTCTGATACGAGACCCTAAAAAAAAGTCTTGAAACTGGTCTCGAAAACAAAACCGATCTTGAGTACTAGTGCACTAATAATAAACCAACAACCCAACAACTTGTCATGTATAATCAAGGGTTGCATTATAATACAGGGTTCCATTAAAAATCAACTGAAGGTGAAAACATATAACAACAAGCCCAGAAATGTCTTGAATTTAAATACTTTACAATGATTTTCATCAGGCTTTGTACTGTATTAAATGAAAACCTGTAAAATGTTCAGCACAGGATAAAATTTGTGACAATTTGAATTATTTAGCAGGGTTTAGTTCAGCAGAAAACAGCAGCTGCTTCAGAATTATTACTCTACAATATTTCTACAATGAGCGCATCGCAGTTGTATGCCTCTGTGAACAAGTCAAATTGCAATAACAGCTCACGTACCTCCACGTCTGTGAAAACATGGATGCTTCGTACACATCTTCCCCCCGGCAGCACACAAGATCTATACAATCAGCATAGTTTCAAGGTGGATACCCAAGATTAATGAGACCAATTCAGTATCTGACTAAATGTCTCCCCTTCTGTTCCTGAGATATGATGTTGAATAATGGCCAGAAAAGGGGTTTTGCAGAACATGATGTCACAGTGAAGTTGACCTATGCTTTGGATAAAATGGTCACTTCATTATTTGATTCTACTAGACATCTATATGAAATATTGTCATAACAATGTATACATTTTTGAGTTCAGATAAAAACTGTGTTTTGTAGGGTCACATTGACCTTTGACCACCAAATTCTAAAGAGTTCAATCTTGACTCAAAGTGGACATTTGTGCCAAATTTAAGGAAATTCGCTAAAAATGATGTTGTGCTATCACACTCACAAGAATGAGACAGATGTTCAGTTCAGTGATCTTGACCATTGACCACCAAAATCAAATCATTTCAAAGATAGATCCAAGTGAACATTTGTGCCATTTTTTAAAAAAAAAAATCCCTTCAAGTATTGAGATATTGCATTCCCAAGAATAACATAGATGACCTTGCGATCTTGACCTCTGACTTATTATCACCAAAATCAAATCAGTTCATTATTGAGTCCAAGTTCTCTCAAAGCATTCTTGAGATATGTTCACAAGAATTGGACAGACAGATGGTCAACCTTAAAAAACATAATGCCTCCTGCCACAGCTATCGCAAGCACAAAGGCATTGAAATGGGACAAACTGCTGTGCATAGCAATTCTGAATGAAGTCTGTCTCTTTTTTCCAATATTGCTTCACACAAAAGAAAATTTAGAAGACATTAAATATGTTTTGGCATATTTTAGAAGTCTTTTTCCTGCTGCTTGTCACTTTTGTTCTGTCATACATAAAAAGGTGCAAGTACACAGCTGAGTACAAACAATCTCCAGAGACCATCTAGCAGGCAAGTAGTAGTGTTCCCTAAACTGTTCCCTTTGCCATCAGATGAAAAGGTCAAGGAGTGATAGTGGCTACTGGACTGTAGGCTTTCACAGATCAGCATCACTACTGTACTACTGTGACAGAAAATATTTCATGTACACTACAAAATAATCTTTTATTTGTCACACAATGCATTAAAATGTTTTTCACACATATTGAATACATTAAACATTTATATTTAGACATGGTGAAAAAAGATATTTCATGATCAGAAAGATAAAAATGGAACACAGCCAGTGGATCCTGTAGTCCTGAGATGTTGCATTTGCACACATTTCTGCTGGAAAGCTTTTATCAAGTTTCTGTACCTTCCTGTTCAGTTTGAAACAGCATATCCATTACATATAATCTATATAATTCTCTATGACACGGTCATGTGGCAACACAGTTCATTAAGAAGGAAATATAAATTAATTTTTGCAGGTTCCATTCCCTCATATCTGCAGCTCATCTGCCCAGTGGCCCTGTGAAAGATCAGAGGATAAATTAGTAAAGCAAAAACTACACTTGTAATACATCTTTTTTTAAAAAAATAAATAGGTTTGAATTCCTTAACAGCCTTTTAAATGTACAATAAGTATAAAGTAGGAAAGGTTTAGAACACAGACAGATATGATGACTATATGTCCCATATACTGAGCATAAAACAGACATATTTGTACATCGTCTTTAACCTGGGATGCAGACAGCGTGATCTCCTCTAGGTCCCCAAAGCAGCCATGTTTATGGCGGATGAGGCTCCCCCACAGAACAGAGTGACAACACGACGGACATTCACCCTCCACTGGCAGGAGGTGGGACGGCTCTGACTTCAGGAAATGGTTAGCAAGGCAGATCACATGACTGCTCATTCCACAGGATGGGTGGAAACAGCTCAGCTTTTCTGACTCCTGAGGACAACAAGAGACAGAGATATGTGGACTGGCAGTTCACCTTACTGCCTACAACTACCATACTAATGAGTTGTATTGAAGTAAAGGTTGTATTTCACAAATGAAAATTACAGACTTTTTCCAGACTACCGAACATGAGGGGGGTTATATAACCACGGCCAGTGTTGGTTAGGTAACGTAACCCTGGTGTAACCCCAGATCCACAGAGTATAGGCTAATTGTAAATTAGCGATACAGATTCTCAGCTGAGAAAATGCATTATAAATGCAATTACAGTAGCACCTACAGTACGTAACACTTTTCATGGTTTCTTTTTCCTTTTTGCCATTGCGGGCAACATGTGATGCGGAAAATCTGAGCAAGAATATTGTTTTATTTTATTCATAAGGTTGTTGTTGCTCTCACTGAACAGTTTAATGTGATTATTCTCTGGTCCATTTGCTTTTTACTGAAATATGTTTTAATATTCTGCAAAGCTGGAAGTATGTGGCAGGGATCAATCATTTTTAAGACACGCAAATGACACGCTGACTAGTTTTATGGGAATGCACACAGAGCCTGAAGCCTTGGTTAACAGAGCAGGTTGATAATCACCTCTGTGGCACTCATTAGCTGCACGCAAAGAAACCTACACTATCTCAAAGTTGCCCTAAGATTTGGTGCCATTGTGCCTGTACAAAGACCAAAACCTGTGCTTACCACCTGTATCTTGCAGCCCTCACTACAGTCCGCTGCACAGAATTGCTGTGTGAATGGATACTGTTGTTAATCCCTAAATAGTTTCACCTCATCACTCCCCCTGAAATACCTCATGTTACATTCTGTTCAGAACACACTCCTTCCTGATATCTTTAGAAACTGTACCTTAAGCAGCCTTTTACAGAGAGAACAAGTGGATGTCTTGTCCTCCTCTCCTGCAGACTGCAGAGGCAGCATCTTTTTGGCTCTCACACTTCCAAAAGCAATGGGGATGTGCAGCGGAGGCTGCAGACTAGGCTCAAAGTCCATCCTGTACTCCTGTTTCAGCCAGCGAGCCGTCAGCGGCAGTCTGTTCCACGGCGCCACCCGCAGCATGTTTGAGACGACCCGCCAGTGGAACTGCAGGCTGGACTCTTTCTTGGAGCGCCGGGAGACATGGGAGAGACGCCTGGAGGAGTGAGGGTGCTGCCACGCCCACTCAAACTGACAAACATAAAGATGATGGTTAGAATAATTCATAGTTTAAAGCAAAGTGGAAAAATCTGGTACTTAAAATTTAGGAGCTTTTAAATACTACCTGGACCTGAATTTAACACTGATATAAAAATGAAAACAATGAAATAAATTGCCAAATTTATATTATAAATGGCAAAAGAGCAGAATGAGATAAAAGACACCCAGAATTAAATGTTTGGCCATTATTTGCAACTGAATGACAGAAAGCATATAGCTTGGGATTGATCATTTGATACATTTCTTCAACACACTGTCTGTCAGTGCATTTCATGTTTAACATAACATTTTTAAGAGACCATGGACACTCTTTATTTAATAGCCTAACACCTTCAGGTGAGTTGAAGTCTGGAAAGCATCAAGTAATCCTGCTGATCCACTATTTCTAATGCAGCTTGCGAAATAACTGAAGTGTTTCTGCGCTCTTCTTACGTCATTTACTGTGTAATGACTCTGATGCTTCAGATAATATAATTAATGGATACAAAGGAGACCAAAACTCCACAGTTTGTTTCCATGCTAAACAATCTGCTGAGCGTTAGGTGGTGATGTATTTTTGCGCTAGAACATAATGAGACAAACAGCTAATCATTTCTCACATTCACTTCACTCTGTCCTCTCCACCCACAATCACACTCTGTGATTGTGGGTGGACTGTTTTTAAAGTAAATACACATCACAATAGCTCTCCATCCATGTCCTAATGTTAATTCTAGAAGCAACTATTGCATTCAGTGGACCTGTGTAAATGACGAGTAGACGAGTTGTGGCAGCTGCGATGTCTGTGTTTGTGAGCATGGGTGAATTATGAGACAATGGGCCCCTTGTTGCAGATATTCAAAAGGCCCCACCACCTTTCCTATAGGTGCACAACACATTGACCTTATAGCCGTTTAACCTCTTTTTGTGTTGTTGTCTTGTGCCTCTTTGTAGTCATTGTGCATCTTTTAGTGTCTTTTGTCTCTTTGTGGTAATTTTGTGTGTGGTTATTTTCGGTGTGGTCATTTTGGTCAGCTTGTGGCTATTTTGTGTCTCTTTGTGTCTCTGTTTTGACCCTTTTTAATCGTGTGTCCTTTTGCGGTTCCTTTGGAATTCTTTGTGGTCATTTTGTGCCCTTTGTGGTAATTTTGAATCTCTTGGTTGGTGTTATATTGAATGACATTTTGCAGGTGAAGGCCCATAGGCCTGTGTCTGAGAGACCTGTTCAGTAATCCATCAATGACAGTGAGCAACATTTATCACTACAGCAGGGACTTTCTGGGGGTTAGAAACTAATTCAATCCATAAATACTGCTGACTCTTCATGTTGGAATAGATTTTAACAATATTTATTTTTTTATTCTCATTGTGAGGTCAACCTTTGCAATGAACACATTGTAAAAGACTGTGATATTCCACTCTGGGATTTTTTTTTTTTTTTTTTTTTTTGAGTTTGTTGAAAAAGAAGATTAGAAAACTGTATGTAAAAATGTAACCATTATTCTTTTTTTAATGGCGCCTTTTGTGTTCAGTGACAATATTCAGTTTGTTCAGTATGTTGGAATTAATCTCAAAGATGTTATCAGATACCGCATATATTCCTCATATTGTGTAACCGTAGAATTGAGTCACATGTAACATTAGTGACTACAAAATATAAATATTGTCCAGTGTGACATCATAAACAAAGATCTCACTCACCCTGAGGGCAGCAATTTCAGAAGGAAAGCCATGTATAATGAGGACCATCTCCCTGAACGAAACAAATGAAAATATGTCAAATATCATATAATTGTGTGATGACACAGTGTCCATCGTGTAGTATAGTAGAGTAAGGTTAGGTCATACCATGGTCCTCTTCCACTGGTCCTCTTGGCTCCCCCTCTGTGCCGTCCAGCGTTGTGCTGTCCGATCCTGCGCTCAGGGTTCACAGTGAAGCCGATGTAAATACGGCCTTTGAATTTAGGATTGATGCAGTACAACATGTACACACCGAAGAAGCTTTCTACCTCCACAACCATTATAGAAGAATTATAAACATCCTTAGTTAAACAACTGCTTTAACGTCAGATAGGGCATCCACGGAATTATTAGCTATTAGCATTATGTTGGCTTCCTTGTGTACATGTTAGCTAGTAAAGCTATAAACAGTAAGACGAAAGACAAAAATTATTGTGAAGAACTGGCCGATTAAAAAGTGGTAACACTGCCATTCTCTCGGCAAAATTAGTCGTATTATTGCTAGAAGGCAAATGCTTTTAATGCTTTCACGTACAGTCCACCACAGCCAATTTACTACATCAACACCGGTACGTTGGGTTAGCATGTAAACAGTGTCTGTCTCAGTAGCCTATTAAACTGCCTGATGAAATATTTTCAAAAGGATTCATTGTGTCACGCTGCGAGACAAATAAAACGCTCGCATCTTAAATAACAACTAACAAATATCTCCACATCTCAAACTGCTTCAATTTTAACCACGTATTTTTACTGTATATGAATTAATATTTAACATTTAGTTCGTCCTTCTGTAAGGACCCCTAATATTGTGATTCGCTACTTTAAAAATAAGCCCCGCCCACAAGACGTGGATACAGCAGCTGATTGGCCATAGTTACACGTATTCTTCGGTCAGTTATGAGGTCACTGACGTCCAACCCTGGTAGCACAGTAATTTAAATTATCGATAACACCGAAATAGACAAACTCTGGTAATGATACGCTTATAAATTAAAACATAAGTTCATAACTGTGCTACAACAGTGTTTTTAAGAGATTTACATTTTTTAATCTTGAAGAACGCCGTAGTACTTCCGGTGTCAGCATGTCTATCTGTCTGACTAGAGTCAATTAGAAATTCATACAAAATTAGCCCCCTTGTAACTGATTTACTGACGTGACAGTTTATGTTTTGTTCACACAGACATGGCTATTACAGCTGATCGCATCCGGGAGAAACTTATTAAGGAGTTCGCGGCAGTACACGTGGTAGGTTTCTGGTTATTATTTGCATCACATGTTCTCCTAGCTTAATGTATGTGTGTGCTGTAGTGAGCAGAAACCATCACCAGCTCTATTTAAACAATGTACAATCATAACTGTTAGGCGGTCGATCTGCAAGAGTACAAACATGGTAGAATATAACTGAGAAGTTGTACAAATGTGTCATATTTATAGCGATTTACAGCATATTGCAACCGCCCTCCTCCATAGTGCAGGTTTATGTTAGCCACAGTGGTGTGTTGGAAGAGACTGGGATTTTAATATAACGTTAGGCTTAATTACTATTTATATGAGTACTGTTTCATTGAGTGTAGGCTGATACTTGATGTGAATGCCACGCAGTAGTATTGTACATGTATGGTACATACATCAGTTACCATAATATTATGGCCAATAAAAAAGAAGCACCACTAACTTGAATGATTTTCGGGTCAGTTTGATTCAGTTGTGCAATACTGTATGTGGTGCTAAGCAGCCCCCCAGCTAATAAAACAAGTAGAACATTAACAGTCTGGTCTGTTGGTTAAGAGGACTTACTCACTCGGACTAAAACTAGACTGCTATAGTATACAATATGAGTCAGGTAGCAAGATGGAGCACATGATCATACATACAGTAATTCAGTATTAGCAGCATGACAGTGAGCTGACTGTTGGCTGTAACTTTTATCTTGTCCACCCCAGGATGTGGAGGACACATCATCCAACAGATGTGCTGCCAGCTTCAAAGTCCTGGTGGTATCATCCCAGTTTGAGGGCAAACCACTGTTACAGAGACACAGGTATTACACACTGTAATAATTCTTACATAATGCATATTTTGCGGTTTGTCGTCATATCTTTGGTATCAGTATAGTTTAAAAGACATAACAAGTAGGAGCGGGCCACACAGACAGCATTTATACAGAAAGATGAAGAGTGATTCCTGCTGACATAATAGAAAATCACACAGTATATTAAAAAAATGTAGACCACATAATTGTATCAATACTGTAGAGTTTATTATACATTATTATATAGCAGCTATGCTACATAACATCACTCAATATCTGTGTTGATGCACACAGAACTAGTTCATGATTGCAGTTTATAAAACCAGAGTCTGTAACTGAGCTGTCAACACGGCACATCGTTACATACAAGCACAAATATCATGACATCCTGCAGCTATGGTACAGCACAGTTACTAGTTTGACACCTTTAAAATCAGCAGGATCAAGGACATTCTCAATAGGCAGTCTTCTTCTTTTTTTCTTTTGTTTTTGCTTATGTCCAACTACAGTATTGCAAAATGACCAGTTAGACTGGTTAAGTTACACAAAGGCATTGAGCTTGGTCTGTTATTTTAGATATATTTCTCCACAAAGTTGACTAAAAATGAAAAGGCAATATATTTCTGTTTGTTATCCCAGTTGGTTTAACAATATTACCACAACAGATAAAATAGTTTGGAAAGATCTTCACACATAGTATCACAAGGTATAGGGACGTGCAGGAATGAGTCCTAAAACCAGGATATGAGTCAGCATTTTAGCCTCCCAGTTCCCTTGTCTAAAAGTCAGTGGGAAGCCTGAAAATAGGTCTGTGGTTAACACAAGCTTAGGAGATTTTCACGTTTTATTCGATGACTTAAAATCAGAGGTGGGTAGAGTAGCCAAATATTGTACTCAAGTAAGAGTACTGATACTTTAGAACAGTATTACTCAAGTAAAAGTAAAAAGTAGTCATCCAAATAATTACTTGAGTAAGAGTAAAAGAGTATTTGGTGAAAAAACTACTCAAGTACTGAGTAACTGTTGAGTAATGTCTGATTTATTTGTAAAATAAGAACATGAACGTAATCAATCAATCAAAAATAATAATCTGCAAATTCATGTATTTTAAACGATACCCCTTTAACTAAAACAAAAATAAATTAAATCTTTACAAACATAACATAAATCAAGGCACAAGAAACACAAATATATTCTTATATATACTGTACATATATATATGTGTGTAATTATGTACTCAGAGGTGGGTAGAGTAGCCAAATATTGTACTCAAGTAAGGGTATTGTTGCTTTAAAACAATATAACTCAAGTAAAAGTAAAAAGTATTTTGCATTAAAACTACTCTGAAAAGTACAATTTATCCAAAAAGTTACTCAAGTAAATGTAACTAGTTACTACCCACCTCTGCTTAAAATATGAAAGTAAATACCCCACTCGTGAAGTTTGAAGCTTTTATGTGTCCTAAAAAATGCAGTTGCTAACAAGTGGCTAAATGAACATCATGAACACAGCCTTACAGCCTTGTTATGGAGGCAATGTTGAAGTCATGCAACTGCGGTGTAATATGTTTATAGTCTAACATTAGCCTTTTACTTGTGGTGATTGCATTTAGGCTTCAGATATCACAAAAGCAGTGTTAAGTTGTGAAGACTATCTTGCTGAACAAAACATGTATCATAAATGGTTTGCCACAGAGCTTATTTTCTGCAATGATCCAAAATTCAATGGAAAAATCCAGTGACACTAACCTCCACATCTGCCTCAGAAAAACGTCATCCCTGCAGCACTCTATAGTGGCTGTAAGATTTAAGTTTATAATGTACTTTATGCAGAGATGTGTTGTTTGGTTTTTAATGCTGTCTACAGTTCAAAACAAAATCTTGTAAGTACCACGCAGACCTCTTTCTCATTGTGGCAGTATTTCATAATGTGTCAAAATCTACTTTCCTAATTTTATAACGAGAAACTTGTGTTTAAAAATTGAAAAATAAAATACAACAGTACATCCAAACCATTCAACACTTTACAAATTACAAAACCATGAAGACTCTTAACATATGTATTTGTAAACTGAATAAGATAATTGTCTGGATTTTGGCTTATTTGCAAGCAAGTAAGTATTTGTTATGGGTCAGATGCTGTGTACAGCAGAGGTTACTAAGCCTATCTGACCCGTGAGCCAATCAAAGTTTGATTAACAAGAGTAAAGATCAGATAACTAACATGAGAAGAACACTGGTCCCTTTCTTTCATGATAATATTATTTTGTGTGGAGTAAAAACAACAGGATAGCAATATCATACCATTACAATCAACTGTGCCCTTTACAACCCCCATCTCACCTCCCCATCCCATCCTTCCTTGCATGACAGTGCACAGTAATAAGTTGTATATAAATAGAAAAAAGAAAAAGTTGGAAATAATAATATAATTAAAAAAAACAGTAATTAAAATAAATGATAATAATAATGATAATAATAGCAATAATGTAAAGCGTTTACTTGACTACTGTGTTATGTATCCACTCTCCAACAGGATGGTGAATACATGCCTAGCTGAGGAGCTGAAAGACATCCACGCTTTTGAACAGAAGACCCTCACACCAGAACAGTGGGAGAAACAGAAATCACAATGACACACACACATTTTATCACACTCACATCAGATCAAAATTTCTGCTATAAAACAGGCCTTACACCTCTCTGATATGCTGATATGTAGAACAGATTCAAATGCTCTACTTAATTTCCTGTAAATCAGCAGTATTGACATAAATGCAATGGAATGTTCTGGTGGCAATAAAACACTTGGATGCTGTATTTTGTCTTTGTTGTTTCCTGTATGTCATTTAATTTTGAAATCTCGAGGAAGTCAGTGAATATTGGATGATATTGTAATGCTGGGTTTAAGTATCTGTTTATGTGTGTTGTTTAGTAGTTATGTTATTGAAGAAGGTGTCCAGGGTAATTGGCTTAGAAATAGATTCGGGGAGGGAAAAGGGGGGTTAAGTGTGTATTTTGCTAAATTTTGCGCCAGGGTGGGGGGGTTTTTTGTAGTGAAGAGACACATGTTGGTGGAGAATTAGCTAACAAGAGATACAAGTAATTAGAAGCAGCAGGTTAGACACCCTACCTTTCTTGTTTTACCATGAACACCTCAACCTCAGGTTAGCTGTTGCTGTGGCAAAGGAATTAATCTGGGTTCTGTTGATCCAGCAGACGCACATCTCTCCCTCATCATTCTTTTTCCGTTTGCCTAGCCACCCCGCAAAGCTACGATATTTTAGATTTACCACTTGAAAGTCGAGTGTATAGGATTAAGGAGGTTGTGTATTGGCAGAAATGGAATATATTATTCATAACTATGTTTTCATGAGTTTATTATTACCTGAAATAAAGAATTGTGTTTTTGTTGCCTTAAAATGACCTGTTTATGTCTACATATGGAGCAGGTCCTCTTTTGCAGAACCCACCGTGTTGTTTCTGTAGGCCAGAACAGACAAACCACACACTGGCTCTAGATAGGGCCAATTGTATCGGCCACCATAGTTCTCTCAGACTAGATTAAGCAAACTTTAATACCAAAAGATTGTTGTTGTTGTTGTTTTTTTAAATTAATCTGTCTGGAGACACAATACATTTTTGTTCCTTATAATAAAGGTGACACAGCCTAATAAGTCTAAATTTGCCCTTCATCATTACGAATAGTTCTAAATGAGCATTCATTGATATGTTTCACCACAAAGTTTTTACCCTCCAGTGGGCTATTTATGATTGTTGCAATGTCAGCTATAAAAGCAAATAAATCTGTCCAAAGACCACTAAATTATTCATTTACCTCTGAGACTTTTTCTTTTTTGGATTTGGAATCCATAACCAGCCTAGCTAGGAGACTCAAAACTAGCCCTGCTGTTGAGGTTCCACAAAAATTTAGGACAAAGCGGCAGGCTGTTGACTAGTCTATAGGCTACACATTTTTACAACTGGTAAATTAAGAATCACTTCCGGCCTACAAGACTTATGAATAAAAATTGAAATGTTAAAAATAAGTGTTGTTCATTTCCATAGAGTCTGTTTTTGTCAAAGCCACATAGAGCCACTGGAGAAGGGTTAAAGAACCGCTTGCAGCTCCAGAGCCGGGTTGCCCACCCCTGTACAGGAAGCATGGCAAACAGGAGAAAGTTTGTTGCAATCTGCAACCTCACCACTAGATGCCACTAATCCTACACACTAGACCTTTGACTGAACTATTGCAAATTGCATTTCCCATGCTGATAAATTCATATTTCAAAATGGACTTCAGAACAACTTCACAAGAGTAAAAGCCCAAATGAGAAGCAACATAACAAACCAAGAATTTTGGGGGGATGTTTTTCCGAATCAAGGGTCTGAGGACAGAGAATGTCCTATGCTTTACAGATTGTAAAGTCCCTTAAAGGCTGATTTGTGATATTGTGCTATATGAGATATAAAACTCTAAAATTTGCTTGATGGCTAAATAGACGTGAGATGTGTTGTGTGATGAGTTGTCCATTTGTCCATCCCATTTTTGTGATATCTCAAAAACACCTTGAAGAATTTCTTCAAATTTGGCACAACCATCCACTTGGACTCAACAATTAACTGATTAGAATTTGGAGGTCAAAGGTCAAGGTCACTGTGACATCATAATGCTCTGCAAAAATACTTTTCTGGCCATTATTCAATTTGTAGCTTCTTTGCTGCAAAATCAGTATTGGACGCATCGTCTACTATTAGAGCGGCTATGAGTCTGGACAGATGAGGATGTAAACTGTTACTGCAACTTACTGGTTCGCAGAGGCATACAACCACAAGGTGGTAATTTTAGTTTATAGCTGAAACAACAATCTTGAACAGCAGAAGTTAGGGATCTCTAGCAGGGCTTTCGCCCAGTGATAGACCAGTAACAGGCCTATCACAGGTCCCACTCCACAGTGTTTTTAAAGGACTCACTAGTTCTTTCAGTGAGTGACTGGTTATGCCTCGGTGCTCAACTGAATGACTGAGAAGGTCTTTTGTTCCTGCAGCAGTCAGATATTTTAATGAACACTGTTAACTGTCCCGCTGTGGGTTTTTATGTTTTTATGTATTCATTTGTTTATTTATGTATCATCATGCTATTATGTTATTGATTATGTCTTGATTGGCCTTTATCATGTCTCAGTGGCTCTCAATCACGCTTTGATGGTCTCCTGTATTATCTGATGTGTGTCATGTTTATGCTGTTTGTTGGCTGTATGGTTTGACCTGGTGGCAAACCAGTTTCCCTATTGGGATTAATAAAGCTTTCTAATCTAATCTAATCTAATCTAATATGTGTAAAAGTTATACAAGATCCATTTAAAAGCCCCTGACAGCAAATGGACAGGTCCATCAATCATCATCGTCAATCAGGTGAACAACATGTACAGAATGCACACTGAATATAAATTAGATGGATACATTTATAATACAAATCATCACTGTAGACTGGCTTGTGCAGATGTATGTATATTGTGTGTGTGTGTGTGTGTGTGTGTGTGTGATGAAGTCTAGTGAAGCCTCACACAAAGCATAGAGCTTTCCATGAGGTGTTATTAAGAGCAGGCAGACCCCCTGCCTGTGTGGATTTCAGGGTGACACCTTACAGCTGTGTGCTTTGATCAGTCAATGTTTTCATGTTTTCATGACATCTTACAGAGCATTAGGCGTTCAGCTGAGCATGAGTGTGTTTACTGTGTTTACCAGCTGAAAAGCATTTGACTATAGTTGTGTATTTTTATGACTAAGCCATTAATGAACATGTATTCCAACTAGAATGGACTATAAACTTGGAAACCTTTCAGTGGGATTTTTCTCTTTACAGTCCAAAGACCTTTTTTTTATGGTATGTAATGGTAGGTATTTTTTACAAGAAAAAAGAAAAAAAAAATCGAATTATCACCTCCAAGTGGAAATTTAATTAATTAATTAATTTAATCAGTCCATTGTTGAGTCCAGGTGGACGTTTGTGCCAAATTTGGGAAATTCTCTAATGGCGTTCTTGAGCAGGCTGGTCAGGCAATTTTTTTTTTTTTGTTTTCCTACAATAAGTAATGCACCCAAATTCATTCATAAACCCACAAATTTTTAAAAGTCTCAGATCACGTGACCAATGCAATGACAGCAGTAAAAAAGGAAGTAGTCCAGAGCACGTAAGGAGGCAGGTTGGGGTGGTGGATGGGTCACCCCAAAAAAGGACTTTCGCCCACGACTTTCCCGGTGAGGTATGTCCACACTGTGTTTCTATTCCTAAACCTTACCTGCATAACTTAACGTTAATGTGGGATGCAAATTCGTAGGAAATCATATAAACTCTTGTGCATGCATTTTTTGTAGAATATCATATGAGCCATTCTATGAGATTATGTTGTTTTATATATCACATTCACAAGAATGGGTCAGACAGACAGACAACCTGAAAACATAATGCGTCTGGTCACGGCTATCGCTGGTGTGGAGTATGGAGAGTGTAGAACATGGGTAATCAGGTGGTTGCATTTAGGGAGATCATAACCCTTGTCTCTGTTCAAGGGTGATCACTGGTATTGGCCTGATTTGGGGTCAGTAATGAAACCTGGTGGGATGATGGTTAACTATAGGAAAAAACATGTTTCACTTGTTTTATCTTTGAGCCAATCACATTGTACTCAAAGAAATACATTCTAATGTATGACACGTTCAGGTGTCAACATATCTTTTACATTCCCAGATTTATAGCATGGCTGAATGCTGATTCAGCAGACTGATGATTGATTTTATCCCTCAGTGAACAGGAGACAGAAACAAGGCAAGAGCACCAAAGATTACTTCCACCACTTACCCTCCCGAGGCCTGCTAATGGATGAGCCAACATGGGGGAGAGTGTGTGTCTTTGTCTGAGTGTGTTGGAAATGAGTTTACTCACTGCTCAGGACAGCTTGGCTCTTTTGAGGGTTGGAGAATATGACATTAACCTTGTCATTTATTCCACAGCATTTTCCCCCTTGAGAACTGTGAGTAACAAAACTAACAGTGGCAGAAACAAAACAGAATCATAGGAAATAATTATATTCAGGGCACCTTATTCTGTTTGGCTTTAGTTTTGTGTGATATCTGTGAAGCCCTATGGCTGTTATCACAGTTGCTCTGAGACGCATTTGACCACATATCTCTTGTAGTGTTAATGCTGATGCATCCTTTTTTTCTTTTTCTTTCTTCTATACTTGTCTGCATTGGTCTTCATAGCTTAGCGCCACTAAAGGGTGTAAGCTTCTTGTGAAGATTGATGCACTGTTAATCTTGCAGTCAAGTATTTTATACCCATAATGCGTGGTCGTGACCGTCACCCACCCTCCCTGGAGACTAGCCTAACAGCCTTTATTGGAAAAACTTCCTAATATGAGTCAGAGAGGGCCGTGATACACCAAAGTGTGTCAGGGGGAAAGTAAGGAAACAAGCAAGGGGGAGGGGGCAGGTGCTTAAGTCCTGAGTTATATAGTGACAGTGCATGCGGAGAAGAAGGAGGAAAAACAAACAAATAAACAAACAAACGAAAAAAAAAACAGGGGAGAAACAGGCAGTGTAGCTGATGTATTGTGGCCTTGAGGTGGTTGTGCTCCATGCAGATTATCGAAAATAAACATATACATGTCTACTATACTGTACTGAAAAACAAAAACAAAAGAGAAGTCTATACTGAACACCAAAAATGTGAGAGTCTTGGTGGAGGGGGAAAGCCCGATTGTAGAGAAGAGTTGCCAGCGCGGTGTGGTAGGTTTGAGAAGCAAGTGGGCCCCTTT